AAGACCAACGAGGGCAGACTGCTGTACCTCAGAGAATAACTATCGATTGCTTCGTTCATTACCCGTTGCGCGGCCATGAACTGGGATGGTATGTTTATGATGAGAGTTTCTGTGTTATGTATGCTAAACTACTGATGTCCCGTCCGTTATCCTCAATAAACGCTTATTCTCGACCAGCACCGCCTTCTGGAGTTATAACAGAAGTACTTGATAGCTTTAGGTGCGTTGGGAGCTTGATCGCAGTTGGTGGTGGTGTTGGGCAGGAAATCACATTACAAACAGCGAAAGCTAGAGCAGCTTTTGCCAATTTGCGACACCTTTGGCGCTATGACATCTGACTGTCCCTTAAGGGACAGGTGTACATCGTCGCGGTTCGTAGTGTTCTGCTTTACGGTTGAGACCTGGCCCCTTCGCGTTGAGGATACCAATAGACTTTCTCTATCCGACCGCCGATTTCTCTGAGGAATTGCCCATGCCTGATGGGAACATCGGGTGAACAATGACGAGGCCCACCGTCGTGTGTCGGACAGTCGTTCTCTAAAAGAAGTAATCGCTTGCTCGTGCTTTAAGCATGCCTGCTCATCGTCCACTCTTCCGTAATTTCTTTGCACATNGAAAGATCGCGGCGGTCAGACTATGACATGGTGTAGAGGTTGGGGCCTAAGGAACGGGGATTGTCGTCGGTTGGAAAAGCTGAGAGATATGACCCAGAAAGTCAGTGGCGCGAATGCTGTACGGTCTGGCTGTTGAAACCCCGTGCCCGTGAAAAACGATAAAGTAACACAAAAAACCATCAAAAAGTATACGGTGAAACACACAAAAAATTGATGTTATCCCTGGTTATTCACTGTTTTCCATTATACTTGTTGAACATAACTTACACTTCGTTCTGTATCCTGATCCACCCTTCTCCTCTCTGTTATTATTATTGTGGTGGCGCTTGTCCGCAAGCGGGTGATAAATATATGAATACATATATCCGTCAACTTCGGAGGCAATAAACGTTCAGTGCATTGTACGCCGTTTAAGCCTTGAATACACGTGTGACTCCCTTCTTGATTATACGTGTATTGTATTGGAATGAATTGTGCAAGTAAATATGCCTACATTTCAGTCAAAAATCTGTTCACCGTTACAATGGGATGAAGAAATAAGTCATATACAACAATGATAAAACTTAAACAGAAGATCATCTTTGTAGGTTTAAAATTAGCTCGTTTAGAATCTTCTTTTTGTCAGATAGAATATGAGCCAAATAGGGTTTTGCTGAGATGTGACAAATGCTTTTGCGAGCAGATAAGCAGAGATAATTGGATGGAGTTGTAGCGCGGGGTTGAGCGGATGACTAGGGTCGTTAAGTATCTTTCATTATGGGTGATATTCTCATATGAAGTAACACAACTTTGTGATTATAGTGTTGATGGAAATAAGAGGAACATGGCTAATAATAACCAAACCGCAGCGAAGAGTAATGAAATACTTTTCAATGGGTCAGGGAAGACAACGGGTGAACAGTTAAGTGTTGTAGGAAAAATGCACTGATAAATAAAAGGACATAAAATTTAATACTGCACTCAAAGTTTTCGTAGCTCTCGTATCTGGAAGGATAAGCGACGCAGTCTACCAACACAGGCTAGCACATGGGAGGACCACTGCAGATTGCTCTCTATGGTGACTCCTAGACATTTGGTGATGTGTTCTGGTGTTGGGTAGGGAATTGATGACGGGGTTTCAAGGGATGCACAGACCGGAAAAGACTAAAGTCGCCTTCGAAACATTTAGAAGCATTCAAATGGAGACCGGATTCATTCTTCACACAAACAGTGGCAGTTCACTTTTCATAAAACCATATATGAGATGTTTTATTACACGCTTTGGTGTGAAAGTCTCAAGCTACGTAGTCTAGGGGATCTACTATTCGGTTATAGAACCTGGTAACCCAAGTCCTGGGAGGTGGAGTGGAGAATCATACGTATCAATGTATGTTCAACCAAATGAGAGGACAGAAAGCCAACGATCGGGGCTACAAACGGGTTGGAGAAGCGCCAACAGTTCACCACAAGGAGGTTTAAAGGATACCTGATTCTAAACCAACGAGGAAGTGGCGTATGAGCCACACCTACACCTCCCCATATCTGAGAGTGATCAACCGTTTGACTGAATATGTACGTTTGACCCCGTCCGAAGAATAAATGATTAGATGAAATGAGCGATGTCTCTTTCAGCCCATGGCTATTTTGACACCCTACATGTAAAGATTAGTGTTATATATAATGGATCTGATACTGGGCCAGACAAAAGCGAACATGCTTATCACCAAAATGCATAAAAGCAGGCCTTTTATGCGTGATCAGCTAGGTTCAAGTTGGTATAAAAATGAAATGATTTGGAGATTGAAACAGATAGGGAAACTGACTTGCCGGTCCGCGTGTCGATCGGCTTTGTGACCCACAATCACCACTACCGGAGAGGGACATCGAATCGAGGATAATGCTTCCTCATACCAACTAGGCACATTCTCAAACGTTTCCCGATCCGTGATATCGAACATAATGAAAGCACCGACACAGTTCCGATAATATGATTTGGCAATGGACCTTTGTGTGTGCAGAAAAATATTAAAAAAATATGAGTCATTCAAACATACCGGAATTTTTCCTGACCGGCAGTATCCCAAAACTGTAGCCGAACGTATTTATCATCACTGACGCGCACCGTGCGTGAATAGAAATCCACTCCGACAGTGGGATCACAGACAGTGCTGTAGGTGCCTTTCACAAATGTCCGCAGAAAGGAGGATTTTCCAACCATACTGTCTCCGATAATAATAATACGAAATTGATAATCGAAATAAGGAATCATAATGGATTTGTTGCCGTCTCAGAGTAGTTAACAATGCAAGTAGCGTGTTTGTGTTTTTATTTTGGCACAATAAAACTCAAATCATGCTTGGTATATCAGTAACAGGCTGTGGTCGACAGCAGAATGTAACTGATGAGTAAGCGAGTGGAGTAGAATGTTTGGGCGTGGTAAATTATGGCTGAGCTAAAATAGAAAGTGCAATAGAAAAAAATCATATAGAAATTTGTGCAGCACGAAAGGAACGAGTAGAACTGAGGGTGAACAAATCGATTTTTAAGCACCCTTCAGTATAATGAACAGTAGAGAGGAAATGAAGCTCAGGTTTTCCGAGTCCTGTTGTTTATTTATAGAAACCAAATCTTGAGACCTAAACAACGCCCCAATGAAGGTCCCTATAGGATAGGATTATTGTAATATTGAACTCCATAACAGCGAAACTACCTACCACTCAAGTTGGATGGTGTGATGCGAGAGTTTAAACCTCGAACCATAAGACTTGGAACATGCGAGTCACACGCACATTAAACGGCGTTAGGAGCACTTTAGATATATCTTTATCATTTTCCAATGACAGCCTCTTTGACCAAACCCGTGCTTGAAGTATTGATATTGCGGAATGTCAACCTCATACATACACTCGATCGGTCTAACATTTTTACACGTCCTGCAAATCTTTTAACCAAAATTCTATTAATCCTTGATTATCACGAATTCTTACCACCGAGATAAGGTTGAGGGGCCTTTCAACAAATCTTTGATTCTGGGTATCATTTCATCTTGGTTTACCTGTGGCACTTTTTCCCGGCTAAAAAACGGTAGAAAAAAAGGTTCACTGATCGTAAAACCAGACCATGTGACATTCGCCATCGTTAGTGCACTGCAGTACAGATTAACAGGTGAGCACAAAATCTGGTGCCCTTGGTGTCCGGTCCTATCTATACACTAACCACAGTTTCAGTTTGAACAACCATTAACCACGCATATTCGAGCGCCGGTTTTGGTTGCTGTCTTTTGGCTGTCCATTTGGATGAAGAATAGAAGACAGGAAGTTGAAGGTAGAGTCGAACAGAAAATAGAGAAGTTCAGTAGTCTAAGGCTGCAAAGAAATTGAGAAGATGCAAGAACGCCACTGTTTACGACACCCAGCCATATCGCTCAGTATCTCTAACCATTGGTTACGATCACCCCAAGATCCCCAAACAGGGAGCCTAACAGGACCTATGTGACCCAGTTTCTGAGTTAGGGTTTTCATACCCTCATGCCAGGTCTTAGCTTGACCAACCTTGTCTTTTGTCCATTCGGTATCTGCTTCGGCGAACATCGCTCGCTGTGGTAACCGTGACATGCGTAACACATCCTCCAGCCAACGTAATCTATGGAGGTCGACCACTTGCTCCAGTGGGCGACCGCATTTACCCAAAACTCTGTCCCTAAACTCAGCATTGCTCATCCGGCTNATATGACCCAGACTCTTGGTCAAGGTTTTCATACCCTCGTGCCAGGTCTTAGCTTGGCCACCTTTGACTTTCTTCCACCCACTACCTCTCGGCGAACATCGCTCGCCGTGGCAACCTATCTGATGACATTCGTAACACATGCCCCAGTGGGCGACCGCGGATAACCAAAACTCTGCCCCTAAACTCAGCATTGCTCATCCGGCTGCCCCACCAGATTCGCGCAATGCTGCAAAGACAGCGATGTTCAAACACCGACAGTCTGTCTTTATCTTGTTTTCTTAACGGCCAAGTTCCTGCACCGTATAGCAGGACTGGACAAACTGTCGCGGCATATACTCAGCCCTTCACAGACAACCGGATGTCGCGACGGCGCCACAGATGTCTCAAGTCAGTAAATGCCAATTGAGCCTTCTGTATTCGAGCTGACGCTTCATCCGTGATGCGTCCACGGGTGAGATGTAGCTGCCCAAATAACAGAACTTATCCACCTGCTCTATTACTTCTCCAGTAAGAGTGAGGCTGAGTGCTGGATCAACCCAGTCTTTAAGTAACATTTTACACTTTGAAGGTGCANCGCATACCGAACATCGCTACACTAGCACTCAAACTTTCCAGAAAAGCTTGCAACTTACCTGGATCTTCACTTAGTAGCACAATGTCGTCTGCGTACTCTAGATCAGACAGCCTGCCACCTGGAAGTAAATCGATGCCACTATCCTCGCACGAGGAAAGGGCTGTTTCAAGAATTAAATCTATGACAAAGTTAAATAGAAAAGGAGA